CTTCCCCGTTTGCTTTGGATCACCAGTTTGAAGATCAACATTCTGAAGAACTCCAATTCGAGGAGGAAGAGCTTGAAGGTGGTTCATTTTTAAATTATTATGATTATTAATTTTAGTTTCTATTTTGTATTCTAAATAGTTTTATGCTTAAATTGAAAATTTATTTTTGTTTCTTGGTTTTTAATTGTTTTTTTTGTATTTATGCATGTTGGATCTGAAGAGCAAGGACACTGGAAATCGCAGATCCATAATTTTTTAAAGGTATAAAACCTGAGTTTAATCTATAGAGATTAGAGCCTTAATGTTGAAGTAGTAAAGTATTGGAGCACTGATCTGATGGCAAGCATGGCAGCATGGAGTTGCTAGTATTATATATGGCACTATGGAGCTACAAAATATGTGGTCTTCGACAAAGGCAAGCACAGGAAAGCATGGAGGATGAATTTTTGTAAATTATATGGAATGTTAGATGTAAAACATTTGTATATTATGGCACTATTTTTCTTTTGAATTATTTTTATTATTGTTTGTTTTGGCCTAAAATTGAAATTTATTATTTCGATTATATAATTTTTTTGAGTTATAATTATTTGAGAACGAATACAGAAACAGATTTCGACTTTTTTTTTAATTATTATTATCAAAGGTGGTGTCGCTTTAAATCGTCACTAGTTTGCATATTTTATTTATTTAATTGTTCTCTAACGTCGCTTTAAACCGTCACTAGTTTGCATATTTTATTTAGTTAATTGTTGACTAGCGTCGCTTTAAACCGACGTTAACATCAGCGTCGCTTTAAACCGACGCTGCGTAGTGGCGGATTAAGCGAACAAAGCGACGCTGAAGCCCTTTAGTGACGGTAGCAATGGCGTCGCTATTCCAATCCGACATTGCAGTGTTTTATGTCGGATTTTTGCCAAATTTCCGACAGAAATCGGGGTTTCTTGTCGGTTTTTGGTCCGCCGGTGATAGCCTATATTGTAGTAGTGTTATATGGTGAATACTTTTGTCCCAATGGGAATTTCAGGAAATCACTCACCAATTATAAATTAGTATTATAGCAAATCATGAAATACTTTTAACATATGTTCATCTGGCCAAAGCTATTGAAGCTATATGTATTTTGTGTATTTTATGTTTTAGCTAGCTATGCAGGTATTTTCTTTGCATGATTAGTTTCTGCCCAAAGGTGTAACTATTATGCAATTTGGAGTTTGTTCGATCCTCCACAACTCGACTACTTCCATGATGAATCTTGCAGAATCAAGAATGAGTAGGTAAATTTGCCAATCTTTTGCCTTAATTTTCTGTAAGTTCTAAATTGGATTAAAATTATTGTTGAAAATTTGATGTTGTTGAGATATCTATGTGTTTACTTTAATCGACTTTGTTTTAGAATTAAAACATAAATTTTGAGTTTGGATTCTCTTATTAGGTTTCATTTTAATTTATGACCTAAGCTTTAACACGTATGTGAGTCTTCTCTCATACACTAAAATACATTTTGTAGCCATTGGTTTATCTAATCACTTGTCACTTTTAGATCGATTAATAATGTTGAGATATTGTTCCTTATATAAGCCTAATTTTGATACATATAGATTGGTTTATTTTGTCCAAACCAACAATTTTGTGACACAACAAATTTGTTTAAGACATTTTAATGTCTTGGGCATATTAACGGTTATTTATCTAATGAAATGAACCTTTAATTTATTTAAGAAATTTTCGTGTTTTGAGCATATTAAAGATTGTAAATTGGTTTTATTTAAATTATGATTAATTCTAAAATTTTGGTAGAGCCTACACTATCTTTATTGATTCAACTAGCCTATATTTTGTTATATGAAAACCACTTTCTCTAGTGTTTAATCTTGCAATTTTGAGTGTTTGCCCAAGTGGGAGAAATAATTTATTATGGGCTTCACACTCATCAATTTTGCATGCTTTTAATGGTCATAGTTTTGGTAGATAAAACGTACGTTATCAAACTTGTTTATATTTTATTTGTTATATATGCAACTAATCTTGTAGGAAAATCAAGAAGGGTTAATGAGTATATTCTGCTCAAAAGTGTTTTGCTTATTAATTCTTATATGTTGTTCAAGAAATTGGACTTGTGATTTATATTTTATTGATGGATAATTAATCTGCTCAAAAGTGTTTTCTTATTCAGTACAACTATAAATCAATGAATAGTGAAGCATGGAATTGACAAGATGCTATATACTTCATCTGCTCAAAAGTGTTGAAGCTATATACATTTACCCTTGTATTTTATGTTTTAGCTATGCAAACCTAGTATAATTAGTTTATGTCCAAAGATGATTCTAGAATTATATGCTTTTGATGCATTAGAAAACATTTAGTTAAAGTTTTCTATTTCTGTCAAATATTAGATGAACAAAACTGACCAAATGATTTTGTATAGTTTTTCAGTCACAAGAGTCACTTCCCTACAAATATCTAGAATAAAGATGTTGAGCTCACAAATTTTATGTTTTAGATCCCATGACTAATGTTTTGCTAATGGGAGTATTTGAAAGGTATCTGTTTCATTTTGTAGGCATTTATAAAGTTTTTTTTTTTTTACTCTCTTAATCAGTGGGAGTAATAATTTGTTTATCTATACTAATCAGTGGGAGTAAGAGATTACCTTTTGTGTTAAAGATTTGAAGTGTTAGTGGCTGATATTTTAAGAGTAAATTTTGTTTAAGTTTTGTTCATAAGTTTTAATAAGAGGTTCTGATTTTCTAAATAGTATGTCGTATTTTACTTGTTCTCTTATCATATTCTAAATTGATAGAAAAGTTGGATGTTGTTACCAACGTTGTTGAGTTCTTTTGTGAACTACTTTTGTACTGAAATATATTTTCAAACTTTCAGTTCGACTATTGTGAGCTAATGTTTTGACTATTAGCTCTTGACACCATGACTTTGATAGCAACAAAGTGCTTTAAGTTGAATGTGTATGTGATCTTGGAGTGCAAGGAACAGACCAAATTGTTCTTTGTTTTCTTTGGTTCTGCATTCGATTCAAAGTGACAGGTTGCTAGGAAAGGTTGTTGCATACTTATGAAGACTCAGTGATCACCATGAGTTCTTATTTGTCAGGATAAATCATTGACATTCAAGTGGGAGAATGTAAAGTTGTGAATGACAATAAATGATGTATTGGATTACTTGTGTTGTAAGCCACTTGTTTATCGAGTTGTTAACGACATAAGTAATCTGATAGTCCTAGTGAAATAAGGATTATGGAGTCTTAACCTTTGCAATTGACCTTAAAGAAATCTGATGGATTTCGCTACAAATATATAGTATCATGGTGGGACTTAAACACTTAAGTGAGGGTTTGATTTCCACAACCAATAATAGGCCGGCTGTGATTAAACCCTAATGATATAAATACTATGGTTAAGTCCCTGCTTCCAGACGCTCAATCTCTCAAAATACGCTAAACCCTATTCACAGCAGAGAGATATTTTGTAGTACTGGAAGTAGAAGACGACCTAGAACTCTGCAATGTCTTCCGTATTCTACAGATAAGTTTAATATAATTAGTTAATCTCTATTTTATATTGATTTGATTTATTCGTGATCCTAATGTCTTGTTGTTGTGATTTCAGAATATGTCTTACAGCTCATTCTCAGCCAAGGACTACCACGACACACCACCTGTGCAAGCTTCAATCGAAGCGGTCCTAGGCATGTTTTCTGGCGAAGGGAGGGGCGGCCACCACTCATTGCCCTCATGTAGCTTTGACTATGCTTGTAGGCCTCCAATGTCGGCGTTATGATTGAAGAGCATGAGAAATAGAGGAGGGAGATAAGACGAAGGAGGAGGTGGTTAAGAGACACCGGCAACAAGAGATTCACGTAGACATCAATGAAGAAGACGCCAAAAAGTGGTGGGCAGATATGTGGGTTCATGTTCTTTTAATTTAGGGTTATTATATAAAATAGTTTCTGAGATTTGCATGATCAATAGAAATGGTCCCTAAGATTGAAAATCAATAGAAATGGTCCCCTGAGATTCTCCACCATCCATAATTTTGGTCATTCCGTTAAAAATGATTTTGGACAATTTTCAAAACTTCGTAACTCAATCATTTCTTAATCAAATTCGATCCATAATATATCAAAATGAAAATAGGAAAGTGTAGAATAAGATTATACCTATTTGGAAGCCTAATGGTTGCGGAGATGGCAGGAAAATAGCCTGAAAGGTGACTGATCCGCTAGAAAACTGGAAAACTCGCCGGAAACTGGGTAAACTTTAAACGTTCATAACTTCTTCAATACTCAACCAAATCAAGTGATTCAAAAACGAAAATAATACTTCTTGACAAAACGAAGAGAATGGTGTCTTTTTCGAAGGCTAAATCGCCATGGTTTGGTCGAACAACGGCTCGAAAGTGGCTAATCATTTTCGAGTTAGTCACTTTCGAGCAGTTTTCCAGCCAAACCACAGCGATTTAGCAGTAAATAAAGATATAATTCTCTTCGTCTTGTCGAGATGTATTATTTTCGTTTTTGAATCACTCAATTTCGTTGAGTACTGAAGAAGTTATGAACATTTAAAATTTACCTAGTTTTCCAGTTTTCTTGCGGACCAATCACCTTTCAGGCTATTTTCTGGCCAACTTCAACAATCATTGGGCTTCCAAATAGGTATAATCTTGTTCTACACTTTCTTATCTTCATTTTGATATTTTATGGGTCGAATTTGGTTAAAAATCGATTGAGTTACGAAAGTTTGAAAATTGTCCAAAGAGTTTTGAACGGAAGGACCAAAATTATGGATAGTGGACAATCTCATATATCATTTCTATTAATTATTCAAATTTCAAGAATTATTTTATATAGTAACTCTTTAATTTATTTTTACTTTCTAATTAATGCCGGGGCAAAATGAAGAATTTAATGGCAAAAATATTTAAATTGGGTTTGTAGATAAGATAGTTGGTTTAAATAAAATTTCCCTTTTTATTAATTCTCCCATTAAAAAGATGGTGCGACCAGCTCGAGTCATCTTCTTCCTGCCGCAACCCCCGACTCTGCAACAAAAAAAATTCAGAATCCGGCGTCTTGAAATTCGCCTGCCTAGCTGCCGTCGAACCCCGCCCAGACCTGCATAGCTCCGCCTAATCCCGCCTAGGCGCCCGCCTAACATGCTTTCCGATTTTGTGGCCGCTTAGAATTTAATCGCGGCGGTCGGCCACCGTCCAGCGCCTAGGCCCGGACCATGTTGAGCCCACCCAAATAACCCGACGGGCCCCCGTCCCGATTCGCTTTAGTGCTGATCAAGTGTAAAACTGTAAACTGTAAAAACTCCATGGAAGAGCTTCTGCGCGCTTTTCATCCTCTTGAGACATTACACTTATCAAAAGAGCAGAGCATCTGGGTTGCCACTTGCAAGTCTACACACCCAAAACGCAGCGTTCTTCTCATCTCTCTCCTTAATCCTCACACTGGTATTCTCTCTCTCTCTGTGTATTTCCTATGTTTGGCTGCTGAGAAACCTGACGAAAATAATAGAAAAGGAGACAAATCGGATTTGGTGGGTGTATTAAATAGTCAATTTCTTAATTTTAATTTCTGTAATGTTCAATGAGTTCTTTGAATTAAGGCCGGCAATTTGCAGTTACATTGAAATCAAAGGATTTGGGAAATTAAACCCTAATTCAAAATTGTATTTTATCTACCTAATTTCGTGTTCGATGTCTTTTCTGTTTAGTTAAATACTGAAATTTATAAGTGTTTGGTTATTTGACGTGAAAATCTTCAGATTAAAAGTTATTAGCTTTAGTTGATCTCTTACGTTTTTTCGGCATTTACGTGCCCATTGGATTGGAGAACAGGATGACTGCAAAGGTTGGTACTACATCCACAGTCGAACCTTGCACTGTTGAGATGTCTGGTACAACGATGACACCTGCATCATCAGCTGGTACACAAAAGGTCTCCATGTTTGCTGCCAAGGCTGGATTTGTTATACCGAAAAACAAGCTGTCGGGTTCACTTGTGCCTGTCTTTCGTGGAAGTAAAAACCTAGGAACCGGTGATGCGGTTAGTGGAGAAAGTAAGAAACAGATTCAGAGGAAAACAAAATGGGGCCCTGATCTCACCCAAGATGCTTCTGTCAAAAAAGGAAGAGCTTTAGCTTATCTGGTATTGTTTGGATTGTTTGCAAGTCCTGTTCTGGTCATATTTCGTTTGATACTATGTTATTTCATAGTTCTAAGATCAAAATTTGTTCTTGGTTTATGTATCTTTTTCCCACTTTACCCGTTTTTATGTTTGCAAATGTCAAACCTCTCTAATATGTTCCCATCCCCATATAGTTAAGAAATTCAAATTTATGGTTTGGAGGCATTCTTCGCCCTCCTTGTGGGAGGAATAAATATTTCCAGCTAGTGGAAGTTCATGGTTTCCCTTTTACATTGGGTATTAAAATGCTGGTTGTGTCTTCGTGTGAATGTTTCAAATGGAAACCTCCCATTCCACGTGCCACTAAGTGATATTACTGTCTGTTTGGTGGTACAAATTTTGAGCAGACTCGGGTGGAACAAATTACACAACAGTTGAAATCAGGAGTGTTAGAGGATGAGAATGATGAGGACTCACTATCAGCACCTCAAGATCCGCACCACAAATCCTCTAAGCATCAAATTGACACAAAGGTAAATTCCATTTCTTGTTCTCTCTTTTTGTTTTATTCATATATTCTCGATTACTTTCGTTTCCATGTTGAATGGTGTTTCTATTCTTAAGCACCAATAATAATATTCGTCAATGTAGGACGTCGACCAGTTGGAACTTGAAAAGCGTGAAGCCATGGGTGCGTTTGACAGCTTTCTTAGATTATACCTTCCTGTATGTTATATTATAGGTTGCATGATTATTGTTTTCTTGACGATATTCAGGTGAGATATTAAAGTTAAATCCAAGCTACAAGGCCCCACCTGATTATAAACCTTTGTTGAAAGAGGCTACAGTCCCTATTCCTGTAAGTTTATCTTCTCGTCCTGCAATCCTCCGGAATTCTTTTCTAATTAACTGTTTTTTTAAGATGTGTCCAAACTACTGAGATAATATAAGTTATTTTATCATGGCGTGAAAATGTTTTGTCAAACTTAATTGTATTGATTTAAAATAGAACTTACCCAAGAAGAACATGTATGTGGAATTTCAACCTAGATTCATAAGTGGCAGTCTTATCGTACACTTCTACAATGATAAGCATGGACCTGAAATCTGAACAGGTTGGCCGTAATTTGGGGTTGAGGGGGTGGTGAAGAATGGGCCATAGAGTACTACATGTATTCGAAATAACTGGTTAAAGCCTTGCAACTTATGGGTACAATCCGTATTAATCTGGTGGAATAGTTTAGTTTTACTCATTTAAGCATATTTAGCATTGCGTTTTTAGGTTGGTTGTTTGCGATACCAGTGTTGGTTTGAATCCTGATAATATTGATTGTAAGTTCACATAAATAAGAATTATTTGGTTTTTTTTAAGAACTTTCAACAAGTGGCTAGGTTGTAGAGAGCTCGTGTTCCTAAAACAGTCCATCTAGAAAGACGGCTATTGTTGCCCATATTTTACCTCCCTGAACTTGCATTGTGGGAATCCACATGCATTGACCTGCCTTTTTAGGACTTCTAGTATGAGTTGACATGTCATTTTTTCACACAGAGACGAACGGACTGTGGATACAATTATTTTATTCCTGAGTATAGAATGCAATGGGTTGTTTACCATTACTTTTATAAGGTTTCCTGGCCAGGGGTGGAGGGTGGGACCTAAAGACGGGAGCATATATTATCCAATTTCATGGTTTGCTGAGTTGGCCAGTATTTGAATTCTGATGCTTAGATGTTTTTAAATGCTTTTCAGGTGAAAGAATATCCTAAATACAATTTTGTTGGCCTGATATGTGGTCCTGGAAGTGATAACCAGAAACAATTAGAAAGGGTAAGGTTTTGTGTATGCTTATGACGGTTATGCCAAACACTTGTGATTACCATGTGCTTGTTCTGATGATCTTTGTGTCGTTGTGTTTTCTCTATATTTCTTTTTGATCGGTCAATTCAAATAAGGAAACCGGAGCCAAGATTCAAGTCTATGGTACCAAAGCAGGGACAGGACAGAAGGTAATTATTCAATAAATAATATAGAACAGTAAGGAATCAATATGAAGATAAATTTGAGAGTCCTCACTCCTCGTCATCAATTTTACTTATTTTCATCCTTTCTTAAACATATTATTTTACGCAAAAAAAAAAATCAATTGTGGAATGGTTGCTTCAAGATGTGCATAATGCTCATGTAGTATTGACCTTTTCCTCTTTTATTCTTTAACTTATTTGCAGGCTGAAATAAAACCATCTGATGGTAGTGAAATCCATGGTGAATATGAAAACTTATACGTTCATATATCAGCTGACACATTTGAGAAAGTAGATGCAGCGGTTGCTGTAATTGAACTCTTAGTCACCTCTGTATCAGTGAGTTTCATTTTTATTTTTAAACAGAAAGGTTTACATCCAACAGTTTCTTAAAATTTCTCTTTAGTGCTATTTATTATGATTTCTACAGTTGTTTTCATTAGCATTGTTACTTAAATTACTTCCATATAGGGAAATCTGGCAGCGGTTAGTACAGGTGCTTCAGTTTCTGGTGATAATGCTCATGTTCCTAGTCAAGTCCAGGACACTATCACCTCTAATATGGTTCCGACTACTGTGGTAAATCAGGGAATGGTACAACCACTGCCAGGACTGGCACAAACTCCACTGGATGGGCAGTTTCAGTACCCTGGTCCATTTTTCTCGAGATGTCCATCTTCCGCTCCCATGAATATGCCTGGCTTCACTCCTCTGAATTCTTCGAGACCTGTTCTCAATAATCCTTCCCATCTTTCAACATCACCTTTCAACCCTGCATACCTGCCTTCATCGTTTGGTCTTTTGCCATCTCTTGTTTCCCCTAGACAAAATCCACCAACAACACAATTTTTGCTGCATGCATATATGGGTCCCCAGCCTGCATCAGTTCAAGCTAATGTTTCAGCTCCACTCACATTCATAGGAAACCGACCACTGCCTGCTGGGAGCTCTACTGGATGGTCAAGCAGTCCACCAGCTCCACAACCAGGTGTTGCATCCATGCTACCACCTTCAAATATACCAACGGCGAATATGGAATCTTCTGTAAACCATCCTATTGCGGCACCAAGTTTTATTTCTATTCCACGGCCTCAAGCAGGACTTCCTTCTACATCTCTGCAAGCAAGAGTTCCAGGTTCTGTTTCCGGAAGTGTTCCAAATTTTGCTCCCCTAAAACCACCAATGATGACGGCTCAAAGCCCTGGCGATTTCACTTTTCAGCCTCATCGACCACAGAATCCATCCTTCCAAACAGTTCCCCAGCCAAGCAGTCACTTTTCAGCACATAACGCTTCTCTTGCCAGACCAATGTTGCCATCTCCAGCACCTCAAGCACCGTCTTTCCAGTTTCCTCAGCCAGGCAGGTCAGGTGTTATCGAGACCACAACTCGGTGACCACATGGGTCAGCATCCATCAGCTCATATGTCTGCTGCTCCCATTGCCAGAAATTCAACTGCCATCTCAGTTTCTCCCAGACTCGCAACATTTCTGGAATCCAGTACCGTTCTACCTCAGACGCCACACCCACCAATGAGACCTGAGTAACTTCAATCCACCTCACCAGATGCCCAATTTGCCAGGTCCTTTGTCTCCAAGGCCAGGAAATTATATTCAAATTCAGCAAAACTATCCTGCTCACGCAACTCGACCTGAGATCCCACGTGCTCCAAATCAACAGTTGAGCAACCACCTTGCATTTTCCTTTGGCAAGTCGGCGTCTGGTCCTGGAGGAGGACAGCAACTTTATGATCCCTTCTCACCCACTTCCGCGAATCAACAGGCAGGGAGGTAATCCAGGAAAGATGTGAAAGCAAGGAAATGATCTATACTAATGTGATTTGATTGCCTTGGTTGGAATTACAATTTTGGATTTAGTGAAACCGGTAACAAAACAAGAATGTGGAGTTCTTGTAGTCTATAGGTCATATTAACATGTTGCTGTTATCTGATTTCTGATAGGACACAACTTCTTTATAGAAACACATTTCCTCATCTTTTTATCAATCGATTTGTTTCCCTTTCGCTGTGAGAGTCGAAAGAGTACCACATTTATATTATAAATCAGTTAAAAGGGACCAAGCAAACCGAGCAATCCAGCGAGCTCATTCAGTAGGCTGGTTCTGTCAAAGCAAGATAGAACCAGCCCTACTGTGTGAGCCAAATGTAGGCCTTCCAAAGCAGCCACTCCTGAACAAGGTTTTAAGAAACATTAGATGCTAGTCAGGCGGCGGGTCGAGACTTTTAGCACCTAAGTGGGGGCCCAACGAACTATACGGATTTAATTAAATTTATTATATAACATATAAATAGATGCTTGCTTGCACTCTAAAAAAAAAAATATTATTCTTGCATTGAGAATATGAGAAAGTTAAAAATTTAAGCCATCAGGGCATTGACTACCAATATACTTTCACACTCCACAAATCCCTCTTTTAATTAATTAGGCCAACACTATGGTTGGTTTAATCAAATATAAAATGGTATATATCCCACAACCTAATTAATTCGTATATACATACCAAATCCCGTATTTCCATTATACCTTGCACTTTTTCCTGCTACTTTTCCATGTCCATGGACGCAAAGGCTGTTTTTCCCATATGACTAACAAAACTCTCTGTCTCTCCAAGCTTACTTTTCTTTTGAGATTCAACATCAAGAATCGGTTCCTCTTCATCTTCTTCGCGTAGCCTTGTCAATGAAGAATACTCAACCTTTTCGTTGTAAACCTTAACCAAAACCAAATAGAAGGACACCCCAAAAATGGCTATTCCCACCAAGAACCAACTAAATTCGAGGTTCACTAAGGACTTGGCTCTGTGAAGTGCCTCGTCTCCATGGCACGTAACCACTTTGGGATCCTCCTCTAAGTTCATGAAGCAACCTTTTGGCATCAATTCAGGTGTCCAAAGCATGAACCCCATGACAATAAGCCAAGCACCTTGGGAAAATATGCTAAGTGACCTCACAAAGCTGACCAAAAAACTCTTAGGGAACCCAATTCCCATAAGGGTTGTGGCCAAAGAAACAAGAACCACAAGCTGCAGAAGCATGTGGTATTGGCCTTCAGGTCCCATGTGATCAGTAGAGTGAAGGTGAAAGAGAAGAAGCTGCTGCCCAAAGGCTATGGCTCCAAGGAGTTGGGTCAAACCATGTTGTGCTTTTAGGGCAATTTTGTCAAGAATGATAGCAAAAGCTGCATAGACCAAGAAAGCCATGGAGATTGAACAGTGCTCAAAGTTGCGGAGACGGTTGGTGGCGATGGTTCCATCGTCATCGAAGGGTTGGTGTTTCTCTGGGGCTATGAAGAGTTCCGTTGCAATGAAGGCAGATGAGCCTCCCATGATTAAGAAGGGCTCCAAATACTTGAATTTGGTGGTGGGAAACCAGGTTGGAGCTGTGTAGGTGTTTGGCTGGTAAAGATGGAGTTTAATGTGGTTAAAGAGGTGCCATAAGCCAATGAGAAGAAACCCAAAGCCTGGTGTTACATGTCCAACTAAAGTGCCCATTTCCAATTGCTTGGTTTGTGTTGGGGAGAGAGAGAGAGGTTTTTTATGTTGTTGGTGTTGTTTAAGCCTAAAGAGAGAGAGAGAGAGAGAGAGAGAGAGAGAGGTTGCTTATGTTGTTGGTGTTGCTCAAGCCTAAAGGAAAAGAAAGGGAGGGAGGGAGGACGAGAGAGAGAGAGGTTGTTTATGTTGTTGGTGTTGTTTAAGCCTAAAGGGAAAGTAAGGGAGGGTGATGGAGAAGGGTGGCAAATGAGAGGGGGATTTTAAAGAGTTCAGGGAGGGGAATGGGGGTGAAAACCTAAGAAGTTTAAAGGCTTTCAAGCTTAGGAGAAATTTTTTAGTGCGCTGGAACACTGATTTGTTACTGCAAGTGAGAGGATTTTAAATGGGTAAATTGTCATTTGACATTTTGAACTATTACTCCAGTTGAAATTGATTCCCTGAACTATTTTTTTTTTGGTAAATTAACCCCATGAACTATTTGAAATAAGCCAATTTACCCTTGTCGGTAAATTTCATCCACTATTTCATCAAATTAAAAGGAAAATTAGTCTTTTATTCATCAATTCTTACTTATCAATTATAAGCAACAATATAATTATGACATGTGAAAACAAAATAATGAGTAATGACAATGTGAGATGGTCTGTTATGTAAACGTTTAGTTTTTTATGTTTTCTCATTATACTATATATTTTTGAATTATTGTGTCCATGTGTCAAAATTTTATTGGTGGTTGTAGTTGACAAGTAACAATTAATGATGAAATGACTAATTTGACCTTGAATTTGTCAAAATTGATTCTGCAATCTAACGGCAAGGAGTTTATTGACTGATTTTAAATAGTTCAAAGAGTTAATTTACCAAAAAATTAATTTAGAAGGTCAATTTGAACTGGAGTGATAGTTTAGGGAGTCAAACAGCAATTTACCCGCTTTAAATATATAGAAAGAAACAAAGACTCGTTTACGATTCGCTAAGGCTCCATTTAGGTTAACTGTGGGTTTTGGTTGTTCTATTATGGGAGTGGTCTCTTAATCTGATGATCCTACTTCTGAATAATTGATTTTTTTTTTTAGATGACGTTTTATCGCATTGCCATCTAACAACTAACAACAATTAATTGAATGATTCTTTGATGTGTCACTCATATTGCGTTACTATTCTCCTCAACCTATAACACTTCGATTTGTTTTTTGCTAATATACTTGGAGTGAGACTTATCAGCTCTTTCATCCACTCTTATCATAACATGTAGGATCATACATCACATAACTTGTATTTCTAACATCCATAAAAATTTCTACGAGTAATCTCTATATCTTCAATATCTTAATACAAGGATTCAAGCAAGCCAGAGTAACAAGCTACAAACCATATCACAATTCGGTTCAAATAAAGTTTTTCCGCCCTTATTAAGTTCCAAACCAATGAACCATTAAAAGAAGTGAAAACTTGATATAACTTCAATTGGTTTAATTAGTCCACTGACTAGGCTTTCACGTCAGATCCTACTGTCATGACTCATTATATATTTGTTCAATACCCCCTTTACGATTTTTATTATTATTTTATTCATACAATAATATATTTACACTATAGGTAGAGGAATAAATTAGCTTCAAACTCATTATTTACGATAATTTGAGTTTACAAATTTAGTTTCTACATCTTTCAAGTAATCTGCTTAACAAAAGTAGTAAGAAACATAATACATAGTAATCATGAAAAACTGGCCTTTGTTTCACGGAAAGAAAAGTTCAAGGGTGAATAGCTTTTCGCATCTTCCAGGAAGAAGCTCAAGTCTGGAAATATGTAGCCATATTTTAGTCTTCTTGCATGTACCATATTTTAGGCCATGCTTTACGTACGTATAAATATACAAAACAGACACCATCCTATCTTGGAAGACAGACATCGGCCATACGGGAAAACACATTTTTGTTTGGAAGCCCAGTCCTCGTGATTAAGACTCGCTAATCTTCGGTAGTCATAACCAAGATCCACATCCTCTTGATCTATTTCCCAGTGAAAAAACACATCCTCGACCTTTCATTTATCTATACACTTTCCTCTTTAGTTTTGTAACACTGTGCTCTACACTTTCTCTTTTTGTTTAAATCTCCAACAAGTAGTTGATACAATGGAATCCCTAACCTCCTACGCAACCATGAGTATAGCCCTTATATTGTCTTTGCTTATACAAAACAGCTGTGTTTCAAATGAAGCTAGGGAAATCTTGAGATGGCTGATGAGACTGCATCGTTGGTAATTAAGTTCATCTGTTCCTCGGTTATTAATTATTCAGTACATGACAGACAGGTGTGCATGGTTCGATTTCACCCGCTTTACCATAAAAACCAAAAACCGAACCGAAGAATATGCTTGGTTTCGGTTTGGTCGATTTATGAACAATAGATGCTGCAAACATACCTAAGAGAGAAAGAGAGCTCTACTCTATGTAATGACCTTTGTTTGAACATAAATATCAACTGATTAAACAAGAATTGTGAACTATTTATCATACTAAAACAGATATACTAAAAAATTCAAACTAAACATTCACTAGTTTAAAAACTTGTCAAAAAGAATCTGCAAATAAAAAGAAAAACAAAACAAAAATCTGTCAATGCATCAAGATTTGAAATCAGTCCTGCAATTTTATTGCATCTAAAACTTATGGCTTCTAATGTCGTTTCTTCTTGCTAAAAGATTCGGACGTTCAGTCCTTAGTAGTGGGTTGTAGTTTATTAGAGTTGCTTTTCTTTTCTGCGGCTGACAAGGAGGCCGCTTGCTTGTTATTTTCTGTTTTACTACTCTTTGCTTTTTCACTGCTTCTTTTCTTAGGTCCATTGTCCTCTGATAATTACAATAAACTCATATAGTTTTGAACCAAAGAATTCGACTTTGAGCTTAATGCGTACCTTGTATTGTTCATGAAGGATTGTGTCATGCATTTGTACCAGAAAGGACTCCAAACTCGTTTGTAAACTTACTCGTTCGCATTCCAATATCAATGAGGGGGAAATAACATCTGATTACTTTAGGAGAGGTTTGTAGTAGATTATTTCCTTTCCTTTTTCATGTACTGTTTGCATTAATATCTTTCCCTCCATTTGCTTTAACCTTCACCATACTGAGGTTCTGAAAATTCATGTGAGAATTTTATCGTTATTCTTGTAGATGGTGTCTTCCTTTCGGGTATGTTTTAGACCCCATTACAAATTTTTTGCATTTATTTTTAAGTTTTCAGTTTAAATATTGTATTAAAAATACATTTGTAGCTTAATAAACGATAAAATCGTTTTCAATTGCTTGTAAAGTTACTCTTAATCATGATAGAAAATATTTAGCAAAATTTTTAAAAAAATGCATTTTTTCTCAAAAAGACATGTGCGGTTTCTAGGTTATTTTTAAAATTTGTACAAAAATTGTCATAAAATCTATTTGCTTTCACCTTCACTGTACCATGAGGTTTGAGATTCTTGTAAGATTTTTTGTTACTATCTTGAAGA